CAAGAGGCAACGGGCACAAACTGAACCACAGGTAGTTCCATCTGAACCGGAGGAAAAACTTCTTTGCTGTGAGGGTGAGTGAGCACTGGCACAGGTTGCCCAGAGAGGTAGTGGAGTCTCCTTCGCTGGAGGTATTCAAAACCCGCCTGGATGCGATCCTGGGAAACATGCTCTAGAGGACCCTGCTGGAGCAGGGAGGTTGGACTGGATGATCTCCAGAGGTCCCTTCCAATCTTAGCCATTCTGTGATTGTGTTATTGTGTATTATGGCAGTACAGTTATCTGTATGTATCCATCTATCTATAAGAATATGAAGTAAAATGTCTCTTTAATAGGTAAAGGACATACATATTTTGACACTATTATTCTTAGTATTGTTTCTATAAGCATATTTAGACACTTTGATGTCATATCAGGGTCTACAGTTTCAGCATTTTCACAAGGTTGAATAATTCCACTGAGTTTTTGTACTAACACTTTAAGTAGTAGTGTGTGCACAGAAATATATTTGTTTCCCAAGTAATCATGAGCACTTTACACATTAAATGAAACAGCTGTTCACATGTTTGCAACTAGTAAATATAAACAATAAATTAAGAACGCCATGTGCTTACTTAGTAATGAATTTCCTTTGAAATTTATAATCATTTGAAAAAATAGGAAACATCTTTCATGTTAGGATCTCATAGCACTTAACATTTCACATGTTTCAACTCTACATTATTTGTTGTTGATCAGGATTATCCGTTCCATTGGAATTGGGGAAAAAGCACAGAATCATTTTTTGTTACTGTAGCATTTATTATTATTTATGAATGGTTACTTTAAGGTGTGTTACAAAGTGTCAAAAAAAAAAGCAGAGAAAATAATTAGTGGAAATTTTTTGAGCCAAGACAACAAATATTGCAGAAGCATAGCAGTGTGTATTCTCTCTGTATCTTTCCAACAGTTATTTTGGCCCCTTCACTGAAAATCTAAGTGCTTCCTAAGCAGAAAAAAGAAGTAGCAGGTTTTTTCTTTGTTCTTTTCTTCCTCTCCTACAGAAGAAATGACGTGACATATCCAGCTTTTCTGTTTGCCTTGCAAGTTATGATATTTTTGGTGCTTAGTGTATGTGTGTGCACGCGCATGTAAATAACTCCTTTTTCATATACTATCTACCAAAGTTTCCTTATCTGAGTGACATCTTTACATCATTTACATCAGTGTCAGTATTTCTGTTAACTTCAACGAGGATAGAATTCCACCTATTTTGTCCGAGTTCCATCATAGTTCAGTTTAGAGTATTTAGAAGCATTTATATTTTAATTGTTTCAGTGGAATGCAGTTGTCATGAGAATCAAATCTTTCAAAGGGCAGAAGGGATCATCTGGCAAGGAGCAGCACCACATAAGGGCTTAAACTTAACAGTTTACTTAAAGACTAGAAATACTAGGCTCTACATTCAATGAGAAGTAGTGTGGTAAGGGGAGTTTCAAATTAATGTATTTCTAGCAAGTTGTTTTCAGGTAGAATGCTGCTACTTTTAAAGAGTTTTGTCATATCTCACAGCTTCATTGCTGTACGTGTGTTGTCATAAGCAGCACTGAAGTTAAAAGTCTGGGTGTACCAAGACACATTGCTGTACGTGTGTTGTCATAAGCAACACTGAAGTTAAAAGTCTGGGTGTACCGAGACTAATCTATTAGTATCAAACAGATGAGAGTGGATTGTTTTGATTAGCTTTTTGGACTTCTCATAGCACTGAGAAAAGCAACCAAGGCTGACAGTAGAGAAAAATTTTCTAGACAAAATAAGGGTTTTTCCCCCTAAATTCTCTTTCCTTTTCCTCCTGTGTCTTGCCTGTAACTGCAGTTGTAATAAAGGCTACTCAGTAGAGCAGCTCCCACTTGGCAGAGGAGACAGAACATGTGTTCTATATGTTTGTGCTAAAGTGTGGTTTCAAACTTCTTAATGGCTCTCTCTCTCTCCTGGTATATTTGCCCTTGCTCTTGCTTGGATTCAGGTCTAATTCTGTCTTCTGTATACAAGTGAGAGTTCTAGCTAAGCTGTGGGATAGCTGGAAACAGTTACTACAAAGGTAATATAGCATATCATCTATTTGCTGCTGATCTTTCAGGTCACATTGTACCAGCAGCATTTCCAAAGCTTCCTGAATACAGAGTAAAAGAGGACTGAGTATAAACAATGCTTTTTGTGGAGTACAGTAATAATTCTTTCCAGATGGACTTGAGTGCAGGTGATTTGAATTTTTAGGCTGTTCATGATGCAGAGAAATTTTGCCAGTTGTGATTTTGCCTCTTAAGTTGCAGGAGAGAGAGAGAGAAAGAGAGAGAGAGAGAGAGAAGCTTTATTTGGTTCCTTAGATAAATTTGTAAACACTTAGGTTTTCTTTGTTCCCAGTTTTTCTGTCACTAGTTGTTCAAGAACATATTCACTGATATGAACAGTGTTAGTCCATAAATGCATACAAGGGCAGTCTCTATTGCCCAGGTCCTCAAATGATATAAATCAGTGGAACTCTACTGACTTATGTGAACAGGCATAATCCCTTTTAGTTGAAAAGCTAGCCTAGAGTATAGGAAGTGTATATATTAGCTGGGGAACATTGTAGTAGTTTCTAATTCTTCTATTTATTGCTCTCATACTGATGTGGAGTGTTGTAAAACTGGCATAGTCCAAATAAGGTATTTTTAATTTTCTCTTTGGAGTGTGGCTATCTCAATATAGGTAGACAAATATCCTTGGTTTAGGGGTGTGCTTCATTATGACTTCATAGGAAATAAAGACAGAAAATTTGGATATGGACTTTTAAGGAATACTGAAACGTTGAGCGGCAAAAATATTTCTTTACAGGATGAACTGATTGCATGTGCAAAGTGTTATGCAACTGAAAATATTTCGCTTATTGAGAGCTTAATTTCACTGAAATTAATGAGATTCTGTATGGTCCATTTTAGCAGAGCTGAATCCAGATATTTAGGGTATGTGAAATTAAGCAAAACAGAAGGAATTTAAGAATTTATTGTTTGCAAGAGTAATGAGAAATGCAAGGATTTTTTTCAGAACAGTAGTGATAATGCCTTTCACTAGGAGCAGAGCTTTTACAAAGGGTCTTTCAACTGAGAATCTCAAAACTCTTTTTGAAACATTGCATTAGGGCTCAACACAGAAGCCTTTATCAAATGAAGGCAAAGGAAGTGCTCTGATGATTTGTCAGCTGTAGGATTGGGCTCTTGAGCCTCACCCTGTGAGGTAGGGAAGCTTTACTTTTTGTATTTTACAGAATGAGAAACTGAACTCTAAGAGAAGTGTGACTTGCCCAAAATGACACTACGAGTCTGTGGCAAAGTTGTGAATTACACCAACATCCTAAAAGACACATACCTAAGCTGCAATTTCGTCTTTCTCTTGTGATTCTAAGTTGGGAAGAATAGCAAGAATTTTGAAACTTTAAACCGAGAAGATAATCCTGTCTGTCCATGGGATTCATTTGTTATCCTGACAGCTTGTCTTGGCTGAAATGAGAAAACACGGGTCAGAGTATGTTGGGGGACAAAGCAAAAAGGTAAGCTTATGAGTTTTCTGATCTTAAGACCAGTTGAGCTAAATTCATGTTAAGCTGGTAAATTTTCAAATAATCAGTCACCATGAGTCACCATAACTACTTTCTTTTTGCCTGTCAGAATGGTTCTACTAGGAAAAAAAATAGAATGTGTCTTTAATATATACAAGTGGGATACATTTAATTAAAACTCTACTCTCTCTACCTTCTCTGTATATATTTCTAGTCATTTTATTTTTCTCTGACCTTCTGTCCTCTGGTTCACATGTGTAAAATGAAATACAGACAACTGCCACAAGCACACTTGGAGAACCTGTGAAAAGTGCAGTTTAACACATTCAAATGAGAGTTAGTGGCAGTGCTAAGTGTTAGCATTTTATCATAGACAGATGATACTGCAGAGCAAGAACATTCTGGTTTGTAAATGATAGATTTTAAAAGGCAAAAGAAATGTCAATTGTCTGCTGTGCTTTGCAGCATCAGTGCCATAAATAGGTACACTCTCTTGGTTACTTGGATGGCTAATTTTAAATTTATGGTAAAGTATATAAAATTTATTTTGTGTGCTTACACTTAAGTGTTAAAAGCCAGTTCCTGCTAGTGTGCTAATGTAGATAGTCAGTTCCTTACAACTAGAAACCAGACGCCCTTTCATTCATGCATTCATACTCTGGCAATTTTATTTGTGGAACTGTCGGGGGGGGGGAACCATTTCTTACATTGTTACTGGACTTGGGATATATTGGTATGATTATGTAAAATCTGTGTCTGGATTGCTGTTTGTCCTTTCTTGCAGTGTATTCTGTGCTCACTGAGTGGGAGGGTCACACTATGTGAGACTAATAAGGACAGAGCTGCATCCCCCTCTACCACTCTTTGGAGACTCACTCCAGCAACTCCTCAGCACGACAGCAGCTTTGTACAGGCATTCACTGTGCTTCTGGGGGACATACTAGAGCAAAAAATTAAAGGTAAGCAGCTCATCTTTGTAGTCAGTTGTTTGAACATCACACAAACACATTCCTGTATTTCTGTGGTGGGGGGTGGGTTTTTTTTTGGCAGCTAAGTTTATTACTGATTTTGCCAGTATTAACTGTATCCTGTGTAAATATAATATCCACAATAGCCTTTTAATATACTGCTACCAACTTATGGTATAGAAGTGTGCTGATATGTTTGCATGTGAACATAGATATGTGTTAATATATGCTAATCAAAACAGCCGTAGTAAATTTGCAGTAATTTACAAAAATGGTTAGAGAGTGTTGCAAATGAGCACAATACTTAGAAGCACGCTTATTAATGTATGCGCGTGCTTACGTCTAATGATATAGCTATTAGTGCTCGGTTTCCTAGCTAGTGTGCGTTATCGAGTGGCCTACATCCACTTAGTCGAAGCGTGTGTCAACAGCGGCGTGCGGTGAACGACCAGGAGCGGTGGCCCAGGCGCGGGGAAGATGCGCCCAGGTCGGCAGCTGCGGGGCGGTGCAGCCTGCTCAGGTG